ACATTTAACTTAAGATCTACCCTCTTAGCAGATTTTAAGTATACAATACAGTACTGTTAGCTGCAGGCACCAGACTGTGCAATAGATCTCCGGGACTTACTTATCTTGCATAACTGAAACTTTCACAACCAGTTTCGATTAGTGGAGTGAGGTGGCATAATTACTCTAGTTTGCATTTCAGTCTTTTAAAGCGTATATAACCTTTTGATTCTATTTTATATTTTTCTTTTAGTATACAATTTCTTCCCTAAGTGCCAAAGTATCCAAAGTTAGACGTAACCTACCAACATTGAAAATTTTGATTTTCAATAAAAAAGTTTACGTTTAATTTCAGCTTATGGTGTTACAGTCTCTTCTTTGTCACTGTTGTTTCAGGTAAGGAGCACAGGCCCCTGAGTCTTAATGGATCTGGATTTGAATTCTGTTTTATCATGTTTCCATCTAATCTTAGGCAACACATTTCTCTCTGTAGGAAATGCAAGAATACTAGGAGGTAACAGTGCTTGATTTGATGATGTCAGCATCTTACCCCCAAATTAACCACTGATTTTAGTTCTACTTAGTAGGTAACCATGGTGCCTAGATGTAGTATTTATCTGATTTTTTTCTTTTTTTTGGTGGAAGCTTAATTAACTGTATTCATTAGGACCAATTTCTTTTTTTCTTGAATGTTAGACATAATAGAATTTTTGTATCTTTGTGTTCCTGAGAAATTAAAAGTTACCCTTGGGCATAATATAACTGATTTAATTGATTTATTGAGTCCTTTTTTGAATAATCAGTGGTGGTGATCTAAGTTGCTGAGCATTTAAAAGTTGGTGGCCTTAGGTTAAGTCATAAAATACAGACTTTTCCCCTTTTAGCACTTGGCTCCCTATAGTTATTCGTCTGTTTTTCTCCCTCCTCTCAATGTCTGTCACATACCATGAAGAATCGCCATTGCCAATGGAATGTGTGAACCAGACTTGGTCTCTCAGGCAAGGTGCTATGCTTTGGACTGTAATTGAGACAGTACTTTCTATTCCAGAATTAACTGTGCTGTGCATACTCTTCTGGTCCAGTCCAACTGCCATTCTGAAGGCAGACCTTTTGCTAAGAGTGTTTGTAGCTTAATGTGGTATTGTTCTCCTACTCAGATTTCCATGACAGCAGTGACATTTTTGAAGACCACTAGTAAATTCAAAGAATGAATTCCTATTGCTCACGCAGTTGGTATACATGTATGTGGATGTATTCACTTTGGAGGACAGTTGGTCATTTTTCAGTAAAATACTTCCAACTTTGGAAGATACTCTAGAGAAATTCTAGCACGTGTGCACCAGAAGACATGTGCATGAATGTTCAGAAGAGCCACAAATGGAAGCAACTCAAGTGCCCATTAACAGTGGAATGAATATATAAATAAACAGATAAATCTCTCAAATATAATGTGAACACACCCAGAATACCTCAGTATGATCCTATTCACATAAAGTTCAAACATGAGGAAAAAAAGTAAACTGTATTATTGAGGGATGCATTTTAAAATGATAAAATGAAAATCAAGGAAATGATTATTACAGAAATCAGGGTTGTGGTCTCCTCCAGTGGAGCGATGAGGGGTAATGACTGGGGAGGGGCGCATGCTAGGGATGGGGCGGGGTGAGGGAGCCTGCTGTGATTGTTGGCAGTATTCTGTTTCTTGACCTGGATAGCAGTTACTTATGTTTATTTAATAATTTTTTAAACTGTATGTATGTAATGCCTATTCTTTTATTTTACGTACTCTCAATACAGGGAAAAAAGTCTCAAAATGAATCTCTCATGGTAGAATTTCAGTTACTACCGTAGACCATGGGAAACATTTTTGGAGAAGCAGTCCTTTTCAGCACCCGCCAGCTGGGGTCTTCAACATGCAGGTGCTTTCTGCTTTGGTTGAGATCCTGGCCAGGGACAGTGGCATCTCATTTGTGTAAGTGGAGGATGTGGGAAGAGGATGAGTTTGCTTGAAGTCCTACTTTTCCTGGTAGGCTTGGGAGTCTTCAGATAATCTTTTTAGTAGTCCTTCTGTAAGCCTTCAGCTGGTAGCTTGTCATGCCTCCAGCTTTTCTTCTTGAACAGTAGTGTTCTTGCAGTTCTAACCTCTGTTTCATGAGCTTGGAAAACGGTACCATACTCTCACATTCAGGCATAAAAAGTTAGATCTTTAGCAAATTTTCTGCCTCCCACTTTTTTTCAAGTGGTGAGTTACTGAAATCACGCCATATGCTTTATCCTTTTTTTGCTCCCGAGATGTCACAGGTAGCCAGAGTTAGAAAAATGTTTACAGTGTGAGCAGGATGCACTGGAGCAATATTGAAAATAAACTTGAGACAAAATCTTTTATGTGCGAGTCAATAAGCTGTTTATTTTAAGTGGAACAAGTACTGATGAAATGATTAGCCCACGGTGGGCTCAGCACAGTTGTCCAGGCATATTTTCATTTAAAGCTGTTACAGGAAGAGCCCTTCTATTTACTAGATGGGGTGCTGCCTGATTCGTGAATCATTGAATGAAGCCAATTAGACTGTCAAAACAAAGCAGCTATATGTCTTCCTCAGGGTAATTTTATGAAAAGGTAACTTTGGGGGTAGATTTTTAATTATAATATTGTATATGTATTTTGCCTCCATCTCCTTTTGCCAGCAATTAGGCTGAAAGGGAAAAGAAAGCTTGTCACTCTGGCAGCCTGTACTTTTTAATTAAACTTTGAACCTCTTTCCCCATGAAGCAGCAGGACAGTTGAGTCGAATTTGCCCTCATTGATTCAGTTCTTTTTGTTTTTCTCTTTTTATACACTATGTATGTTATTCGTTTTTTCCACTAATATAATCTCATGTAACAAAGACAGTTTAGTGGAAGAACCTTCCCTTTTGATGTTTGAATAATTTGAAATAAGACAAACAACTAAACATAAAAAAAATCTTTATTTGGACAACGACAACAAAAAAGACAGGTTAGACCGCACACAGCACAACTCTTTCCTTTCTTACAGCTGGGCGTT